GGGCTCTTGAGCAGTGTAATAGTCTGGGTACTTTGGAGAAACAAATGCACAGCAACTCATGTATAAGAGAGAGTTTTATGCAAAGAAAATGTGCATCACGAAAACATCCCAACCCAATGCTGCCCAAGCCCACAAGTCCAACATTAACCCATATTCAACACCAGTCCACAAAGTCCTTCACCTCACAAAACAGAGGCAATAATGCCGACTGCAAGAGGAAAGCTGAGTCAGTGAACGTGTAAGCATCTCAGCACTAGCAGGGGTCTCCACATGGCTGCTCCAGCACCCAGGGCTGCATCGGGATAGGTCCATGCAGCTTCTCCTTGGAGATGTCTTGTAGGAAATCCATCTTGCAAGCTGAAGCAGGGAACTGCTAAGGCAGCTGCACCCGATGCAACCATCACAAAACAAGAGACCCAAGAACTAAAAAGGCGAGGCTTCACCACCCATTTATCCTTCCGCCTTTCAACCAGCCCCACATGTGATTATCAGCCAGGCTGGCACAATTAACTAACTCAAGCAGTAATAAGGTGTTAGGGTTTGCCCTTCTGCCAATGGCCCTATCTGACAACTTGTTGGCTATCCATCATCCCAGGTAACCTGGTCCTTTCAGGTCCAATGGCATTGGTGTTTCCATGCCTGGGACAATGAAAACTTTGGCCAGAATGGTGGGAACTGGACTCCCAGAGGTTGGCTTCTCCAAGTTTTCTTCCCTTCTCAGACACTGCTCAGGACTCCTCAACCTGTGAGCCTTCCCCACTCTATATAACATCTCTCTTCTATCATCTTACCTTTGCAGGTTGTCCCCTCCCTACTTGGGGACAACCAGTCTAATCTCCCCCCAAAAAACACTAATTCTTTGCAGTGGACAGGAAGGAGAGCTTCTGATTTTCACCCTGTAAAACTCCTTGAAGCAAGGACATCCAAATTGTTGACAGGGAGGGGAAATTGAGTACACACTAAATTGAACATTTGAATAAATTTAGGCATGTGGTGAAGTATTTGACAACGCTCCTGACACACAGGAAGCATTCACCCTGGTGATTATTTATTTGGCCCTGGTAAGAACATGAGTCACAGCCTACATTTAAGTCCACACAAAGAGCCAAGGAAGGCTGAGGAACTGCATACTCTTCAGGATGTTCTACATCGCCCACTCATCTCATCAGTTATCTCTAGTCTATACAAACCACCAAAAACTCACTGCCATCTGCCACTCAGTTTTGAGCCAAGCCACAGACAGGCCTATGTGGGGAACAATAACACTAGGGAGATACACACACCTTAGAATCAGTAACCGCTTGAGATCCAAAGGGCAGAATTTACCCAAGACAGTTCAGGAAGGGCTGGAAAGAAAGAATGACAACAGGAAACACAGAGAGGAAGTAGGATTAAGTGATACTACACGGTAGGGATTACAATCAATGACATGAAACAAAACATGTATGAATGGTTGAGTGGAAAATAGATTTGTTCTGTGAACTATCACCCAATTTACAATACAAATTTTTTTTAATTTAAAAAAACCCAGAACCTATTCCCATAGGTTAGATTCCAACTCCTAGTGACCCTATAAAAGGTTTCCAAAACTACAGCTCTTGGAAGACAGCATCATCTTTCTCCTGAGGATTAGCTAGTGGGTTTGAGCAGCCACCTGTCTCCACCAGGGCTCCTGCAAACCACAGCACATGGGAAACTACAAGACCCACCAAAAAGTCAAAAACAGAAACAACAACAGTCACAAACCATCTGACAAACACTTAGTACCGGGCACATGTTTAGTCTGATCGCATCCCATCTGTTGAATGTTTCACATATTCTTCTGCCATTTACCTTTTCCGAGAGCACATCTTGTTACTACACAGTCCCACAGGATTCAACTGCTAGAGCAGACACAATTCAGCCTGTCTGCAAACCTCAATTCGGGGTTTCCACGCAGCATTGCTTGCTTCTCCCAAGGCGCAGAGATGGCCAAGGCATTAAATGACAATCCATGGGAAGCAGAACAACCCACTTGCAAATCTGTTCCTGCCACAGGGTCCTTTTCCCTCCTGCTTTGAGTAAAGGAGATAAAGTGGGCAGTGTGCAGTCGCCCCAGATGGGAGAGGCATCTTGAAACTGGCATTCACCGAGAATACGCATGCAGAATCCAGAAATATCTCATGATCAGGACGAAACGTCTAAATTTAATACCCACACCAGAAAATTGGCTTGGCTTCCCTTGGGCTGTGCACAGGGAAGGTCTTGTTTGGAAGTTTTGAGAGGCGAGGGGGCTGTAAACATGTTCATGGCATCCTCGGATTTTCTGGGGCCCAGTGGTGGTGTTCTCCCAAGACCTGGTTATTCGTTTTCTTCTCAATGGAAGATTCCCATTGAAGAAAGGTAAGTCGTAGGAAGGAATTCAGAGAGAGATTCTCACAGAGAGGAGATAACTTCCCTGTATAGCCAGGTCAGGCTTCTGTATTCTGGGCATTCTTAGCCAACTTTTTAATGCTTCCCTCTACCCCATCTCCAAATAGCAACTGGCCCCCACATAGGGCCTTGATTGTTCTTGTTTGCCTTGTATCTCGACCTCAGGGAAACAGAATCCAGCGCTTCCGTCGGGGAAGCCGGAGCTACTCTCACCTGGTTTGCTGCCGTGCTCATCAAAATCACAGCAGTTCTTCTGGAAAAGGTTTGGCACACCGCTGGCCCAGGAATATTTGCTGGGATAACCGGAGGAAGGCTTCCTTTACTTTGCACTTTGACTGAGGTTGCTAGACTGACAGAGTGTAAACCTATTGCTACTAGCAGCCCATTCAGAGGTAAAGTAAGATTGAGAGACAGAGAGATGGAAGGAGAAAGACTATTGAGATGGCATCACCGAACATGTAGATCAAGACGTACTTGCAATATCTTTGAATTTTCAAAATCATGAAATAAAGACATCCTTTCTTGGCTTTAAAAAAAAACCAGGTGAAACTGAGTCTTAGTAAACACATGATGAGGAGTGATTCCCCCTACTGAAGATGAAAACAAGACACAACTATAAACTATCCTTGCTGTATCCATAGGGCTAAACAAGGGGGCTGAGGGACAGCACTGCTGTCCTTCCCTCCACCCTCCCCTCCGCTGATGCTAGCGAACACTTGGAGCATGGATCCTGGTCAACAGCACTTCCCAGAATTTGAGAAGGCCTGAATTTGGAGATTCTGGCTCTTGGGAATTTTAGTGTTTTGGTAAAGAAGGAAACTGCCTATTTCAATAACAATCTGTTGTGACATCCAGAAACTTCTGAAGAATGCACATTTGTTGTCATTGAGACGATTCTCCCAGTGAGCCCCTGTGACGGAGTAGAACTGCCCCACCCCCCCACCCCCCAGCGGTTCCTAGGTTGTCATTTGTACAGGAGCAGGTGGCTAGGTCTTTGCCTAGCAGAGCTGCTGGTGAGTTCCAGCCACCACCAACCTTTCAGTGGGCAGCCAAGCACTTCATCACCACCCCACCAGTACCTCTGCAGCTCTCAAGCGGTCAAAAACGGACATGAATGGAAAAGAGAGACAGAATGTATGACCACCTATAACCCCTGGTCATGGACTCCATCTGGTTTATAGCAGCCCTATGGGACAGAGCAGAACTGCTCCATAGGGTCTCCCCAGCTGTCATCCTTACGGATGCAGATTGCCTCATCTTGCTCCTGCAGAGCAGCTGGTGGGTTCAAACTGCTGACCTTTCAGTTAGCAGCAGAGTGCTTAACCAACCACTGTACCACTAGGGCTTTATCCATACAATGGAGTTTTATTTGGCAATAAACAGAAAGTACAGATGCATGCTACAACATGACTAACCCTGAAACCTAGTATGTTAGTGAGAGTGGCCAGCCACACATGCCCACATGTTGAGTGATTCTATTTCTGTGAGATGCCCAGAAGAGGCAAATCCAGAGAGAAGGGGGGTAATATGTGATGTGCTGTTGGGGGGCTGGATGATGCTAAAGCTTAGGTGGGTTCTAAGGTGTTTGAGCAGGCAGGTGGTGAGGAACTGGATATTCTTTTTGTTACCGCTTTCTTTTCTTTGCAAGCTGACATCACCACATACGGTGTCTCTAGTCTAACAAGGGCAGGTTCAAACGACCATTTGCCAACCTGTAGGTGCTATGTGTCTCACTAGATTTCCCAGCCTCCTCAGTGATCTGCCTTGGCTGGTCTCACAGCCAACAACTCCATGAAGGCCTCTACACAGTTAAAAAACAGTTGCCCTGGGGTGGATCCCAACTCATGGTGACTCCAAGTGTGCCAGAAAAGAATGGTGCCCCACAGGGTGTCAAGTAGCTCAGTAGCAACTCCAGGGGGCCTATGTAACAGGCCCCAAGGACAGCTTGATAAGTAGATCCTCTCAAATGCAAGAAGCCCTAAATCACTTATCTACATTTTTTAAAATCATTTCATTAAATAAAACATTTAATTCCTGGTTCAGGCAACGTGGCTCAATGTGACACAGGCGTTGAAATCTATATGATGGATGCACACACCTTTTGTTAAAACCTGTCTGAAAAAAAAAAAAACCTGTCTGAAACCCTCTACAAGTGCTCCTAGGTATAACCTAATTTGGAGATACCGTACTTGTGGGGAAAACTTAAATTTGAAGCCTATGCCAAATGCTTCCGTGTCCCAACCCCTTACTGGCCTGCCTCAGACAAGGAAGCTGGCATTCCCATGTTTGGCGAATGAATGAAAGAGCACGCGTATTTAGCAGAGCTCCGTAATGCAGAGTACTTCCTAGACTGCAAACTGAAGGACATTTTCAAAGGTTAATGGCCGCGAGTCCAAGGCTCGGTCACGGTTTGTGATTTCAAGGAGCCCGCAACGCCCTTGGCTCTCCGCAGGGGCTGGGAACTGGGAGGCCGCTCTGCACGTGGACCCCGCACGCGTCCGCAGCGCGCGGCCCCGAACGGCCTCGGGAACGCGCCCGGCCCCGCCACGCCGGAAATGACGACACGCCACGGCTTAGCAACCGTTGCCAAGGAGCTCGTCTCTAGGAACCTAATAGAGTCCGGGTGCCTCCTGAGGGGGGGAAAAGTGGTTTCTTGAAGAGAATCTGAGGTAACCTTGCCCGCCCGCAGGCGGAAACTCCCCGAACCCCGAAGCAGGCGAGAACTCCCCACACCCTTCCCCTTTCCGAGGCAGTGCCTGGCAGGTCGGGGTGGGGGCGCAGCTGCGAAGCCCCTCAAATTGGGGATGGGGGCCCCGGTGGGGCTCTCCTGAACCGAGGCCTCTCCCAGGCGGGAGACGGCGTCGGGGAGCCCAGAGCAACCCCGCGAAAGGCCTGGGTCGGACTGTGGGGTCCCCAGCCCTCTCTAGAGCCCCCGGTGCTGGGAACACTATTTCTGGTGCCGGCGTCGGCGTTTCTGGGCCGAGGTGAGCCACAGAGACGTCCGGCCTGGTTCGAGTCCCCCCACCCCCCACCCTTCGGGTTCCTGCCGGTGAATTAGTGTGGCGCCTCTCCGCGCCAAGTGGGACATTAATTGCTTTTGCTAATTTTAGAGCGCGGAGCCCGCGGGGTTTAGACAGCCTACCTGTTCAGTACTGCCATGTCCTTAGCGAGTGACCATCCGACACCTGGCTGCTTGTCCCCTATCCTCGTTGCCCCCGCTTTCTGGTTTGTTGTTTTCAGGGCCAAAAAAAGAATGACTAATCAGCTCATTTCGAACTCAGAATCATTTTTCAATGAAACATTCAAGAAGATGCCTGTGAAGGGTGTGTCGTGGATATTGACTTAAGATAAATTGTCACCACCCAGGCTTGCATCTCAAAAAGGGACTCCCCCAATTATGTAAAAGTTTCCTTTTACATTTTAAGGGAGATCTCAAAGGTATAGACCGAATTTCTTTCCCATTTTCTTATTTCTGAATTTTATGTTAATTATGGAGAAGAGACCATAGTTTTCTTGTTTTCTTTTCTAAATAGCCAGCTCTTCATCTTCAATCCTGCCCCCGCCCCCCCGCAAAAAACATTAAACTAAAAAAAATGGTTTTTTTTAAACTCACTGCTATCAAGTCAATTCTGACTCCTGGGGACCCGATCTCCCTGTCGTTTAAACAAAACAAAACACAGTTTTGGAGTGAGATGTATGCTGCCCGATTTATGCTCGTTCCTTGGGTAAAATTACAATGACCCAGTTCATGATTTTTATTACTAAGGGAGTGCTGAATTGAATGTTTTCTTATTTAGCAGTTCTTTTTTAAAATATTTTTGAGTGGCTAAGGATAAAGCCCTTTGCTGCTAACCAAAAGATAAGCTGTATGAACCCACCAGCTGCCCCACAAGAAGATGCGGCCTGCTTCTGTAAGGACTTACAGCTTTTCAAACTCTATGGGATAGTTCTGCTCTCTCCTATAGGGTCAATCTGTGTTAGATTTGGCTGCACAGCAATTAATTTGGTTTGGTTTAAGGCTAAAAAAAATTGCCTGCCTATAAAACTTAGACCACTTTTCCCCATTGGATGCAAATATTACCTGCATGCAAGAGATAGTAAGGACGTGATAAAGCTTTTCCAACAATTAAGAGCTCCAATATGCTATTAAAAACAAAAAGGTATGATCTTCCTCACCCAACAGCCTGGTTTTAGACTTAAGCTTGTGGGTTTCCTGACCTTGGGTCTGAGTACAAATTGATTCAATCTTTCGAGTGCATAGGTTTCCAAACTCAATTGACCTAGTGCCCCCCTTTCAGGGAAAAAAAACAAAACAACAAAACTCAGTCCCTGCTCAACCCTCTCCCTCCTGCAATTAAAAACTTTTTTTTTTTTTAACTGTATCCCATAGTTAGGATACCCCTCTATTTTTCCAGCACCCTCCAGGGGACAGTATCACCCCCTTCAGGGAACCTACCTGTAGTGGTTTGAAAGGTCAGTGGTTCGAACCCAGCAGTTGTTCTGTGGAGAGAAAAGACCTGGTGATCTCCCGTAGAGATTACAGCCGAGGAAACCCCCTGGGGTGCATTTTTACTCTGTCCTGTTGGGTCCTTAGGAGTCTACTCGACTGGCTTGACTGCACCTGACAACCACCACCACTGTCTTCATGGCATTTTGAAGATAAAATGTATATAAAACTAATACAAAGTTTTATTGTTACTAAAAACTAACACTAAGCGAGAAGAGCTGATAGAGGGTGGTCCACCTAGAATGTGAGGATGGCTTAAGAAAGGTTTTCATGGAGGAAGTTGCATTTGGTGAAAGATGGGTTGGCTTTCTACTTCCAGAGTTGGGGAAGGGCAAGAGTAGAAAACAGCATTATCTAAAGACCTTTGTTGTTGTTGAGTTCTGTGGCGCTAATTTTGGCTAGCAGCCCAGCATTTAACCAGTGCAGCATCAGGGCTACGTACCTAAAGGCAATCAGATGGGGAAATGATTGAAGGAACGGTGGCTCTATCAATAAGGAGCTCTCTGGTGCAGTGGTTACAATTAGTCTTGGAAACCCACGGGAGCATCGACTCTATGTCAGTGAATTTGCTTTTGTTTTGTCTCTATCAATTGCCTGAAGAAGTGAGGATTTAAAAGTAACAGTTTGGAAATAAAGTTGGCAAAGGCTAGGTTAAGCAAGATCAGCAAGAGTCTCAACACCCAAGAAGTGTGGACTTGAATTTTGTAGATGAGAAATCAACAAGTGGTTTGGAATGGGGAGAGGCAGAGACCAGGAAACTGGAGACAGGAGGAATTGAAGGCCTATGTTAATCAATCAAGGATGGCACAGTCGATGCATGCAGGACCGAATCAAACCTAAATAGTAAAGAGCACCTGATGGAAGAAACCAAAACAGAATGGAAGGTGCAGGCCCAGGCAGTTGCCATCCCACATCAGTTGGCTGTGAGCATGCAATGCATGATCTGATTTTTCATAAAGGTTGGAAATCGGGATTTTAATGTAAAAATCTCTCAATGTTTTAAATGTGGACTGCTTTTTTTTTTTTAAAGTATGTTTTCAAATGAGCTGATGCCAGGGGCTTAGGTGGAGAGCAAATGTTTTGCGAACGATGAGGACAATGAATGTACACATGTGCTTTACACAATTGATGTATGTATGGATTGTGATGAGTTGTATGAGCCCCTAATAAAACAATTTTTTTTAAAAAGATATGTTTTCAGCCTAGTAGGTACATGGTCCCTCAGTAGATGTTAAGGAGACGCGTAGTTGGGAATTATTATTCATTCTGTCAATTTAGTCAAGTCTGTGCCATCCCCCCAGATGCACATTCAAAAACGTGAGGTAAAAAACCTAACATGAAATCCCGTAGCTTCCCTAAAGATAGCTTCATTTCTTGATGTTAATGAATTTAGCCCGTTTACAGCTTTGGGTATGCTCTATTTCTGTGAACTCAGTTCTTTTCAGAACAAGTGTTTACAATGTTGAGAAATATTGTCTCTATTTTTCCTCCTTTAGTAAAAATTACCAGACCTAATTATGAGTGATCAGATCAAATTCATCGTGGAGAAGCTCAATAAGGATCCTTTTAGAAAGAGTTATAATTTAATCACATTTGACTCCCTGGAGCCAATGCAACTATTACAAGTTCTCAATGATGTCCTGGCTGAGATTGATCCAAAGGTAAGAGTTTTATCTTTTCTCCAATGGTGTGTTCTTAAAACCTAGGCAGAGGCTATGGAGAAAGAGGAACAGGGCAAATTACTTAGCCTATTTGAGCATCATTTTCTATGTCTGTAAAGTAATATTAATGATCTTTCAGGTTTCTCTACCAACTTGGAAATTAAATTATATGCTTGTACCTTATTGAGAAATGATTTCCCTACTTCCAGACACAAATAGATCTAGTTCTGGAATGAGAAAGCTCTTACAAAAGATCTTATTGTATTGCAAGTTAGCTCACGTCTCTTATACACTGGTTTTATCCATGGGAGACTGCCTTTTAAAAAAAATTTTAACTTAGCATTCTTCATATGAATGTTGATCTGACCCATACTCCCCCTCATTTGGAGTCTGGGGGCCCTCTATCTTACTCTGTTTTATGCAGAGACCATTGTGCCTATTATGGGCTGGCAGAATCATTTTGCCAGTGTGTTTAAATATTGTTCTTAGTTAGATGTATAACAATCGCATCTTTTTTCAATTTTCAATTTCTTTATGTATCTAGCAAGTTGTTGATATCAGAGAGGAGATGCCAGAACAGACAGCCAAACGGATGTTGAGCCTTCTTGGTATCCTTAAATACAAGCCTCCAGGAAATGCTACAGACATGTAAGAATCAGTCATGTATTACTTTTTAAAATAGACTTTCAAAATATTGCTTTTAAAATATGCTACAATACACCTAAGTCTTTGTCTATTAAAGTTAGTCTTTTTAGGTCATTCTTGGCTTCCTTAAATTGGTGACATCAAAATATCACTGCATTTCCTGCAAATGTCTTAAGTGGGCCAGTTCTTGCCTCAGCCAAAAAGTCAGGCAAATCTTAGTCCATTGTACCATCTTTTTTTTTTTTTCCCTAAATGCTTCCCCACCCCCACCCCATTGTACCATCTATCTGCTGTCCTAGACAAACATATTTACACACCACTCCATCAATTAAGAATGAGGTCTTAAGAATAGCTAAACTTAGTCAATGGTTCCAACACCATTTCTCTGAAATTTCCAGTGATATTTTTGGGGCCCAAGTTTATGTTCCTGTACAGGCTGACTTTATTTCATTTTATTTTTAACAAATTGTTAGGGAAGCAATCAGGAATTCATAAATTGGATTTTGAGAAAATGTTAATTCTTTCCAAGGTTTATTCATAAGCATGCTTGCTTGTATGTGCACATGTGCATGGGTGTGTGTTTTCATTTTTAGGAGTACCTTCCGTCAGGGTCTGGTGATCGGAAGTAAACCTGTCATCTACCCAGTGCTCCACTGGCTTCTTCAGAGGACTAATGAACTGAAGAAAAGAGCATATCTAGCCCGTTTTTTAATAAAACTTGAAGTACCAAGTGAGTTTCTTCAGGATGAAACTGTGGCTGATACCAATAAACAGGTACACATTATGTCATGGATTTCCTAGTGACTCTGGGGGATGATAACCTTGCCTGCTCACTGCAAGGTCATGGTTCAAACCTGCCAGCAGCTCCTCTGTAAGAAGAAAAAGCTATCTGCTCCTGTAAAGATTTACAGTCTCAGAAACCCTACATAGGCTCTTTATGAGTTGGAATCCCCTGAGTGGCAATGGATATGGTTGTCGTGGATTCCAAGGAGCCTGCTGGTGCAGTATTTAAGCACTTGGCTGCTAATCAAAAGGTTGGTTATTTGAATTTACCAACTGCTCCACAAGAGAAAACCATGGCAGTCTGTCTGCAGCCTAGGAAACCTCTGCAGGGCAGTTCCCCTCTGTCCTGAGTCAGAATCAACTCGGTGGCAATAGGTTTTAAGAGTTTCAAGATGGAAAGGTTCAAATACATGTTAACCTCGCTTTAATATTTTTGCTTTACCTGTAGTGCCAAATGTGACACTAAAAAGTAAACCAAAACCCAGCTATGTTCAGCTCGTCGTCATGTCATAACATATCAACTTGTGCCTACAAAAACTGTTTTGTTTTTTAATGGTAGGGGTATATACTTTTTTAAATCTCCTGAAATTGGGATTTTAGAATTATTTTATTTCTTAGGAACTGTAGGTAGATAGGATCCAGGGGCTGGGATGGCTGAGCATTTTGCTGGATGAGACAGTTGACAATTGCCTCAGACTGTCTAAGGAAGAGAGAGAGGCAAGAATCTAGGCTTCTGTGATATTTGTGTGGTCTCTCCTGTGATCGACTAGGTAATGGACCAGAGAAAGTAAGAACTGAAGTACCTATGCTGAGACCTGATGGGTAAATAGGAGTTATCCAGATTAGGGGTGGTAGGGCCAGGGAGTGTTTTTAGAGCAAGTAGAGTGCATTAATGAGGTGGGAGCATGTAACGTTCCAGCAAGTGAATGAAGGTCGACATAGCTAGCGTATGGAAAGCATACCAGAAATGCAGCAGAAGGAGAAATATTCAGGGTACAATTTTAATGCTGTTCTTGTGATTTAGGTGATCACTATACATTAATAGGTAGTTTGTCACAGTAAAGCCTACTAGACCTAGTCATTAATTTATTCTCTAACTTATTCTCTCAGTATGAAGAATTGATGGAAGCTTTCAAAACTTTGCATAAAGAATGTGAGCAACTTAAGACTTCTGGATTTTCTACGGCAGAAATAAGAAGGGTAAACAAAGACAAGAAACTATAATACTGTTTGTTTAAATTGGAATTGCATTGGAGTTTACCATTTTTATTTTTAGTTGGTTCAGTATCTTTCTTCTACATGGAAACTAGTGTCAGCACGTGGCAGATTCTCTTTGGTCTGAAACTTTTGGTAGCTCTGTACTGAAGAAATTAATGAAATCCAGAGTAAATTCATAGTGAATTCTTATGTACTGTAACCATTACCCTAAATTTAAAAAGGTTACATTTTGAGTCTTTCTCTGATTGAGTGATACAGAGTCCTGGTGGTGAGTGATTAAAGTGCTTAACTACTAACCAAAAGATCAGCAGTTAAAACCCACTAGCTGCTCCACGGGAGAAAAACGTGGCATTCTGTTTCCTTAAAGATTAAAGCCTTGGAAACCCTATGAGGCCAAAAAGAAAAAGAAAAGAAACCATATGAGGCAGCTCTTCTCTTCCCTATAGGGTTGTTATGAGTTCAAATCAACTCGATGGCAATGGACTTTATATATGTGTGTATGTTTATTACATATATAGAAAATACAGAAGGGAAACGCAGAGTAAAATCATAGAGTGGTTAACATTTTAGTATATATCCTTTCAGGCTGTCTTTCTTATGTATGTGTGTATATAACACCCATCTAAAATTGGGACTACACTGTACATCATTACTTGTATCTTGTTTTTAAAATCACTGCATTATAAATATAAATATAATCTCATTATTTTTCTTTCTACAGTCTGATTTTTGTAAGTAATACTCCACATGGATGGTTAATTCCTTATTTTTTTTCTGTTATAGATTATAATTTTAATTCTCTACAAATTGTTTTTGTACATTTGTAGTTATTTCCTTAGAATGGATTTCCAGAAATTTATTTGCTTATTAAAGCACATAAATTTGTTAGGATGATGCATTTTACATAAATGTGACCTGAAAACATTTTTACACTTCCACTAGTTCCCAATTCCCTAAACACATGCTAGTACTGACTTGCATGGATTTTTATTTTTTAAATGATTCCTCATGTATCTGTCATCATCTTCTTTTCATTCAATAAGAAATGGAAGTTGCTTCCTCTGGGAGGTCTTCCCTGATCCCCTGGATAGACTAAGTCATCATGTTTTATGTGAGAGTATGAGCTACTCTTTGCAATTAAAATTACATCAGTATCTTCCCAACACCTTTAAACACCACGGTAAGGATCGTGTCTGCTTGACTTGTTCACCTCTGTATTCAAGTGCCTGTTATTGCCTGGCACAGGCTAGTTTCTCAGTAAGAGTTTGTGTGCTGCTCTACAAACAAAAGATTAAACTGGCTCTAGTTGCAGGGTTGTAGGGAGGCCTATCAGCAGACATTGAAAAGACAGTGTGGACGAAGAGTGATAGGTGCTCAGCCCCCATCCCTCCATTATGTCACTGGGACTAAACCAAAAATAATAGAAGAACTTAGAGTCTGTATTTTCAATTCTAGACATTATTGCCAAAATGGTCTTGAACATATACTTATAGAACACTTAGAAAATCAGATCGTTTAAATAAGAAGTTTTTAAAAATTCATAATCTCACATTGAGGACCACTAAGATTATGGCCCTTGTGCTTCAGGTCTGCAATTGAACTCATCCCTGTGTTAGAATAATGAGCCATTATTCTAAATGCTGATCAAGAGGACAGCATTTACCCAAAGACAGAGGTTGAGAAAGAGGAGGAATGGAAACGGAAGTAGGATAAGCGAATAGTACATTGAAGGGGTTGCAATGGATGCATTGAAACAAAATGTGTACAAATTGTTGCGTGTAAAATTGATGATCTGCTCAATATACCTCCACCTAAATCATAATAAAAAAATTGAAGAAAAAATGAAAAGAAAAGAATTTACAGTCTGGGGGCAGGAGAAATAATAAAGATAGCTTTTACCAGAGGAAGAAAATCCCATGCTGAAGAAATAACCACTATTGGCAAATAGTGAATATATTTAAATCTTTGCCAATATATTTAAATCTTTGCCTTGGTTTTGTACTAGATATAAATGCTGTAAAATGCTTCTTCCAAGTAGTGTCATCTCGTGACATTTCCCCCGGCATTCAACATTCTTCTGCATCGTCTTTAATGACTTTCATTGTCATTTATTTAATGTAATTTATTTCATAATCCTCAGGCTTTTCTGGGTCACTTCCAAATTTTAGATATAATTAGCTCTGTGATGAGAATCTTTATAGATGAGTCTGTGCCATTTCATGAATACTTTATTAGGACAAGTTCTTTTTTTTTTTTTTTTTTTAACATTTTATTAGGGGCTCATACAACTGTTATCCCAATCCATACACACATCAATTGTGTAAAGCGCATTTGTACATCGTTTCTCAAAACATTTTCTCTCCATTTAAACCCCCGACATTAGGTCCTCATTTTTCCCCTCCCTCCCTGCTGCCCCCTCCCACATGAGCCCTTGATAGTTTATAAATGGGTATTTTGTCATATCTTGCCCTGTCCGATGTCTCCCTTCATCCACTTTTCGGTTGTCTGTCCCCCAGGGGGGAGGTCACACACAGTTCCATGTAATCGGTTCCCTCTTTCCTACCCATTCTCCCTTTACCCTCCCTGTTTTGCCACTCACACCACTGGTCCTATAGGGCTCATCCGTCCTGGATTCCCTTTATTTTCAGTTCCTATCTGTACCAGTGTACCTCCTCTGGTCTAGCCAGTCTTGCAAGATCGAATTCGAGTCATGGTATTGGGAGCGGGGAGGAAACATTTAGGAACTAGAGGAAAGTTGTATTTCTCATCATTGTTACATCGCACCCTGACTGGCTCATCTCCTCCCTGAGACCCCTCTGCAAGGGGATCTCCAGTGGCCTACTAATGGGCTTTGGGTCTCCACTCCGCACTCCCCCCATCATTCACTATGTAGGACAAGTTCTTAGAGATGTGGAATTACTAGGTCAGAAGGTATTGACATTCTTAAGACTTTTGATGTTATTCTTCAATGTAATCCCACCAATAGTGAGTAACTAGGCTCATTTTCCCAATTCTGTCTATACTGCCAGAATTTCACCTTTAGTATTACTGTGAAAGCCCTATTATTTTTGTGTTTCGTTTTTAGTTTTAGTTTTTAAGTTTTAACAAACTCTAGCTCACTGCCATCAAGTCGTTTCAATTCATAACGACCCTATAGGACAAAGTAGAACTGCCCCTGTGGGTTTCCAAGACTTTTACTCTTTATGAGACTGGAAAGCCTCATCCTTTTCCCTCAGAGCAGCTAGTCGTTTCAAACTACTGACCTTGTAATTAGCAGCCCAACTCCCACTATGCCATCAGGACTCCTTGCTTTTAGTTTTAGGTTGGTTAATTTTCATGTAAAAATATTATGGAGCTAGTTATGGGAAGAGCAGCATATTTTTGAAATCTTTCATTTTAGGAAGGGATTGGTTAAGTATCAAAACCAGGCACATATTTATATCTCAGAAGTACTATGGCCATAAAAAATAAGTTTGATGGAAAATTTGCAAAATATATGGTCTGGTATTTAATGGAGCAGATGGGATGTCAGCAGCAAGTTGTTCATATATTTAAACCTGCACTCCTTCCGTGATGGAAGATTTTTGAGAAATCATGTTCCCATATTTAGAATCAGATTGCACATGTACTGGTTGGCAGCGTCACCTTGCTGCGTTATAACCTGTTTTAGTTCCTTTTCTAGATGAGCACCAAGCTGCCAAATAAATTACTTTCTACAAAGAACCCTGGGGGGAGGGGAGTAGGAATGCTTCCATCTAAAAGATGAGCTTCATTCCCAAAAAGGGAGGGAAATGGGGCCTGCAGGCTCATGAAAACCTTGTCTGAGTTCTACCATACCGAGACTACTCTTTTAATGCCCTCTTTGCCACCTCTTAGGATATCGGTGCCATGGAGGAAGAAAAAGATCAACTCATTAAGAGAGTGGAACGCTTGAAGAAAAGGGTAAGCCAAGAGTGAACACTGCAGGACTCTGGCCCCAGCTCCCCAGGACTTGCAAAGACTTAGGAATGCAAATAAAGATTAAGGCAGGCATGGTGTCCATCTGAAGATGGACTCATATAACATTGATGGAAAGGGAATCTCCCCAGGCAGCAGCCCAAAACTTTCAAGGACCTGGAGTCTAGAGCTTTGATGTCATCTCTGGGGAGTACTGTTTACCAAGAGGAAATGAGAAGTGGATGTTTGTGTCACGTGCTATGCTCTTTCTCAAACCTGACGGTAACATGTACTACTTATTCCCACTGTAGGTGGAGACAGTTCAGAATCACCAACCAATGCTTAAAATAGCAAGGCAACTTCGAGTTGAAAAAGAGAGAGAAGAATTCCTTGCCCAGCAGAAGCAGGAACAAAAGAACCAGGTATCTTCAGTAAAGTTTATAGTCTCAACTATGAGAGAAACCATTCCTCTGATAATTCAAATGGAAAGAAGGAAGAATTTTTGGAGCTCATGTTTTCCTTTACCTTGTTATGGGACAAAACTCTCTTATCCTCTAGTCTTTTGACGCATACAACAATCACCTTTGGGGTCCTACATCTATTTATAGTTTGGCTTATGCCTACTTCATATTGTCCCAGCATTACTGCAATGTATTATCCCAAGATTTCACTGTACTGTTAAGTAGTAAGATTAACTGCTGACAACACCTCTAAATTCTCTGAAGGGCTTCCTGATATCCTGGGACATTGAGAATATCATTTTTATTCACTTGATAATCAAACCCTCATGCTGTTGAGTAAACTCTGACTTACAGCAACCCTACTGGATAAAAGAGAACTTTTCCCATGGAATTCCCAAGGTCTTTACAAAGCAGACTACCATATCTTTCTCCTGTTGAGTGGTTGACAGATTTAAGCCTCTGACTTTTCAGTACTCCTTCCATTGATCACAGTACCTTCTACACTTTACGCCAGGGGCAACAAGATTAGGAAAAGGCTAAAAGCCACATGCTCCATGTTCTCAAACTTGGTTTTACAGGAACAAAATTTGACCAGAATTAGCTATTTAAAATTTATCTTAAAATCTGAGTAGACTTACACTTAAAGATATATTTCACATGAGCTGTGTCATGGAAGCCAGCCCCTAACACATCATCACAGGTCCGTTAGGGCAACTCTATAGTGTTAATAAGTAAAGATTATCGTAAAGTCTTAGAGAGCATGAGAGATAGAAAGAGAGATTGAAATAATGGAGTCAGACACATTTCATGATAGCATGCTCACCTCAGCCTCACTTGGTGGTCCACGTGGAGAAAGGGAGGGAGAGAGAGAGATTTATTGCTAACCAAACCTTATATATTCTCTGGGGACGGGCAAGCCCCCTAATTACAGGTGAAGACATACGTCACAGGAAAGGATTGTGCTATAGGTAATACAGTAATGGGAGGGGGATAATATAGGAGTACACACGCTGTAGGAAGAGGGGAGGGATTAAGGGTATACATGTGACAAGATGGGCAGGCCCTAGGTTCATAATGTTGGCCTAATCCTGGTTGCCCTAGAGCTGGGGACTTTATTTAGCTTAAGCTTTCAGGGGAAGCAATCCACAGACCCTTACAGCAAGAAGTGAGTCCTGCCTATTGTGGGAGAAACAGTGGTGTCTGCTTGCTTTGGATGGCTGGAGTGTTCAGGGAGATACTTTGACAATCATTTACCATTAGTTGCAAACAGTGTCCTAAGTTTAACATATATTTGGGGGAGATGACTTGGAAGAAATCTTTGTTTCCTATAGATTGGTGGGTTAAATATTTGCCTCCTTTGAAGCTTGACCTAGCATCATAGTGGTTTTACTGCAGCATGCTTACATTGATCAAGTGCCAAATGACTGCTTACTATCAGATTTGGATTGTGTTGTGTTGTTAAGTGCCTTCCTCTATACAACAGAACGAAAATCCGTACACTCACTGCTGTGTTTAAGTCCACTGATGCAGCCACTGTGTCAATCCATCTGGTTGTGGGTATTCTTTTTCCCTAATCTTCTGCTTTGCCAAGCGTGATGCCCCTCTTTAGGGACTGGTCTCTCCTGATTAAATTTCCAGAGTATGTAAAAAGAAGTCTTGCCATCCTCCCTTCTTAGAAGCATTTTGGCTGTACTTTTTCTAAGACAGGTTTATCCATTCTTCTGATATATGAAGTAATGGATATTATTATGTCTTGGTTCTTTAAGATGACATTTTTGCTGTCTCCCCGCAAGTTTTCTGTTGTTCTTCCCCCTGGAGAGGGGTGTATGGTTATGTGTTGATTATTGCGATCAGGTCCCCCTTTCTCCCTTCCTCTCCCCCCCACCCTTCTACCCTCTGGTATCACTATTCCCACTCCTGTTCCTGGATTCTGTATGTTGTGAGCCCCCACCTATCTATACCTGTGTACATGCTCCGATCTAGTCTGAATTGAGAAACAACACTGGGGTCATGATAGTGGGGGATGAGGAAGCCTCAAGGAACCAGAGGAATATTGTTTCATCAATGCTTTACTACACCCTGGTTGACTCATCCCATCCCTGTGGCCCCTCTGTGTGGGGATTGGTCTATTGTCTATAGATGCTTCCATCTTCTTTTGATGCATTTTACATCATTAAATATTTTTCTCATCAAACTTCTCAATATTACAACTCATGGCTTGACTTCTTTCATTTTTTTTCAGCTTGAGAAATGCTGAGCATATGCTTCCCATTTGGTTTCCCAGCTCCAAGTTTTTGTACATTCATTATAATACTTGTCATCTCAAGCCACACTTTGAAATCTTCTGTTCAGCTCTTTTCTTCCACATGCTTTAGCAACTCTACATTCAAGCATGAGTTGAGCCTCTTTTGACATCCATTTTGGTCTTTTCTTCTTTCTTGTCTTTTTAATGGCATTTTGCTTTCTTCTTATATGATGTCCTTGATGTTTTCCTGAAATGCATTTTTTCTTTGTTTTTATCCACAACACATTTTGCCTTTGTTCATTTGGTGTTCGTTGTGTTGAATCTATTCTTGAGATGGTTTCTAAATTCAGGTGAGATATGATCAAGGTCATGGACTTGCTTTAATTTTCTTCAGCTGTAATTTAATTTGCATATGAGCAAATTGATGATCTGTACCATTGTTGGCTCCTGACTTTGTTCTGGCTGATGATACTGAACTTCTCCATCATCTCTCTCCACAGATGTAGTTCATTTGATTCTGGTGAGTATTCCATTAAACAATGTCTGTACGTATAGTTAAGGATCTCTGGTGTCATGGTGGTTACACACTGGGCTGCTAACTGCGGGTTCAAAGTGCAAAACCACCAGCCATTCCAAAGGAAAAAGATGGGACTTTCTACTTCTATAAAGAGTTACAGTCTTGGAAACTCACAGGGTCATTAGAGTTATCATTGACTCGATGGGAGTGAGTTTGGTTTTCTGATATAAATGTAGCTACTGCTTATGATGTTGAAAAGAATATTGCCACTAAATAGGTTCTTGGTCTTAAAAATTTTTAACGTGATCTCTTGCATTGTTTCTATAACTAAGGCTGTATTTTCCAAGTACTCTTTCTTTTTTGCTTCCAACTTTTTCATTCCAATCACTAGTAATTATCTATGCATCTTGATTACATGTTTGATCAATTGAGCACTGCACATATTGGTACAAATCTTTAATTTCTCTTTCTTTGGCATTAGTGGTTAGTGTATAAATTTTAATAACTTTTTAATTTTAATTAACTGGTCACCCTTGTGGATGCATAAGTATTGCCAGTGAGAATCTTGGAATGTTCTTTTAAAAGATGAACACAACATCACTCCTCTTCAATTTATTCCTAGTGCAGTAGCCCAAAGCTTCCTAACCTGTGAGTCACGACCCTATATGAATGTGGGAAGGTCATGAAAAATTTGGCAACAGTGAAAGCTTCCTGAATGCACATGGGCCAAATATTAATTCTGAATCAAATGCATAAAGAACTTGAGATGTCAGAAAAATAATAATTTATAAATTATCAAGGGTTCATGAGGGAGGGAGGGTGGGAAAGGGAAGGGGGAAAATGAGAAGCTGATACCAAGGGCTCAAGTAGAAATAAAATGTTTTGAGAATGATGA